GGAACCTTTCAAACCTGGATTGTCATGTGAAGTGGAACCTTTCAAACCTGGATTGTCATGTGAAATGGAACCTTTCAACCCTGGATTCACTGATTTACATTCAAAGATCATCCAAGAAAAGTAAAAATATTTAGATTTTACTAGTTTTCATTTTAGAAACCTTTATATTTGATTGAAAACAAGAAAAAGTACCCGTCCCCAGTGTCAGGAAAAGTTTAAGTTAATCTATTAATTTCAATTATTTCATAGACTTTAAAAAGGTTAATTGTATTGCACTCTTGGTTTCACTCGGAACCAAAGCTCTGAGCTACTTATACCACCAACTGCAAACAAGTAATTGTTGAGCATTTCAGCCATGCTAAGAGCCGCTCATCAATAACATACGGTAAATCTACATTTTTATTCTGTAAGTTACGTCACATTTTGAAATGTGAACGATAGTGTGATTAATTCCTAACAATTTAGTGTAGAATATCCTGCTTGTGAAATACTATTTGACCTCAACATTATTCATGGCTGTTCACCCGTCATTTCAAAAGTGAATGTTGAGCTTCGCCTGCACGAGCATCTTTTCAACTGCAGCACGTGAAGCAGTGGCTGAAAACGGGAGACAGACAAATGCTTGGACAGATACCATGGTTCACAATGTATATAAGATTGACAGTAAAGAGTAATTTATAATAAAAACAAATTGTGTAAACATTTTTAAATCACTTCCAATGAGTTTCCACCCAATGCTTATCTTAGAAAAGTGAAAATGTGGGAAATAAAACATTTATTCTGGATATACAAGTTTATTTTATCTTTATGTAGATGGAACTGGAACTAAAAGTTAAACTTTAAAGCAGAAAAGATACAAATATTGAAAGCTTGGATTGAAAATGCTACAATACCTCCGATCCAGCTTGGGTGAACCTAAAAATGTTGTCGATAAAAAGCAATACATCTTGACCCTCTTGGTCTCTGAAATACTCTGCAACAGTTAGGCCAGTTAGAGCCACCCGAGCACGAGCACCAGGGGGTTCATTCATCTGACCATACACTAGAGACACCTAAAGGGAATGAATAAAATTAATCCTTACAGCCAGTCTTCCAGTAACGTAAACTCTGTCTGAAACACATGTACTTTATTTAGCATACAAAAATAGTCACTATCTTATGTTCTGAAATTTTAACTTAATCCTTTCTGTACAAGAGAGTAGCATCACTGATATCCCTTGATTTTGTCCTTCTTACAGTGGAAGTACTTGGTACAAACTTATTAAACAGTATCCAGTTTTGGCTTAAAAGAATTTATATGATTTGATTTACTTTTACTGCCTACTTCACATAAGTGGATTTAAAAAGAATGTCAACGATAATGCACCTTCTACGATCATTCTAAAGCTGATCACATTCGGTAGAATCATACTTGGTTCTTGTCTTCCTTTACGGACATCATATCTTACCTTAGAAGTTTTGTCTTTTAAACTAATAACACCAGACGACCACATTCGGTACA